CTTCCTTCGTTCGGGGCTCTCGATATCTGCCGATGTGATGCGTTGGTAGGTGCCATGAGCGCGGACTCGAGTCTGTAATAAACTCCCTTTAAAAAAAAAAAAAAAAAGAAGTAGAAGGAGGGGTCTCCTTGGTGGTGCAAGGGGTTAAGCGTCAGCACTATGAAGCAATCCATAGCTACTGCAGCATGAGTTCGATCCCCGACCAGGGAGTTAACCCACATGGCGCAGCAGACCTCTCCTGTCTCGCCTGCTGCTCAGTGTATTTCAGTTAATCTGCCTGTTCTGTTGTCCACTCTGTCTCTGGTGAGTCCTCTCACTGCCCGCACCTCTGGCCTATACCCCAGTTCTTGTATGCATAAATAAATAAATCTTTTTTTTTTTTTAAAGATTTATTTATTTATTTATACAAGCACTGGGCACAGTCAGAAGCACGGGAGGGCGAGAAAATTCACCAGAGCCAGAGCGGGAACAGAACAGGCAGACTGACGAAGTACACTGCTGAGGGGAGCAGCGGGCGCGGCAGGAGAGGTCTGCCCGCCATGTGGGGCCCTCGCTGGTGGCTGGGGAATGAACCAGCACTGCAGAGGCTGCCGTCAGCTTCGCAGCCCAGCACTCAACCGCTGCACCACCAGGGAGGCCCAATAAATAATCTTTTTTTTAAAAAAAAGGTAGAAGGAGTTCAAAGTAAAATTTTATCCGCATATTCAGGAAACTCTTGTTGAGCATCTTCTGCATGCTTTTCCTGGGGGACCTTTTCCTGAGGAACAAAGGAAAGAGCAGGAAATGGGTGCTGCCCTCAAGGGTGCACAGTTTGGTGGGAGAGAGAGATACAAATCTTAACCCTCAACTTCCTTAAATTAGAGTTTGCTTTGGCTTTCTCTTTGTCTCACAGAGGTAAGACACATGAGAGCGTGATCTAAAGGAATTGTATTATTTCATATTTTAAAATAGTGCAGCATGTATTTGTGTAGTGTTTTACAGCTTACAAAACACATTCACAACATTAGCTTATTCTGTTGGGAGCTCCAGAGGCCTAATATGAGAGATCTAGAAGAACAGCCAGCTAGCTGACTTGAGCAAACTGAAATGCCATACACTGAGCACAGCTGGAGAGCCGCGTCACTTTCCTGCCTCCTGCTCTGAGAAGATGGAAAATTTAGCAAGAGGGTGGGGAGTGCTTGGAGGACAGAAAAGGGCCAGGAAGTAGGACATTTGAGCAAAGGACAGCGTAGTGTGTGATGGGGGTTAAAAATAGTGGAAACCTCCTGGGTGGGGGTCAGAAACTCAGGTTTTAATCAATCCTTAAAACATTGCCCCAAATTGGCTGTACAGGTTGAGTAGGGCCTCAGTTTTTTTCCATATGTAAAATGAGAGATCTAACTAGATGATATCCAAAGTCCCCTGTATGTCTGACAATTTATTTTTGTGAGATGAGGAACAGTGGTGCTTCCCATTGTTCTTCAGCCCCACGGGGGAGAAGAAACAAGTACAATGGATGTGCAGACTTCAGGTTAATTGAAGAGCTTTAAGTGAAGATTGCTCTTCTGTCTTGCTTCAGAGATCTTTAGAGTGGACAAGATGACCTCACAATCAAGCCTGGAACCTTTTCTTTTTTTTAAGATTTATTTTTATTTATTTATGCACACAAGAACTGGGGTACAGGACAGAGGGGTGGGAGGGGGGAGGTGAGAGGATTCACCAGAGACAGAGTGGGGAGCAGAACAAGCAGATTGACTGAAACACACTTTTTTTTTTTATAGAGGCATGTTATTTATTTATTTATTTATTTGTTTGTTTGTTTGTTTGCTTGATGGTTTTGTTTATACATGCACTGGGTACAGTCAGAAGCACGGGAGGGGGAGAGAATTCACCAGAGCCAGAGCAGGGAACAGAGCAGGCAGAAGGACCGAAGTACACTGCTGAGGGGAGCAGCGGGCGGCAGGAGAGGTCTGCATACCATGCGGGACCCTCCTCCGGTGGCCAGGGAGCAGCCGGGATCGAACCGGCGCTGCAGAGGCCGCGGGCAGCTTCGCAACCCAGCGCTCAACCGCTGCGCCACCGGGGAGGCCCTGAAACACACTTTTGAGGGGAGCAGTGGGGGGAGACAGGAGAGGTCTGCTGCACCATGTGGGTAGCTCCCTGCTGGGGATCGAACTCCAGCCACAGTGGCTGCTGATAGCTTGATAGTGCTGAAACTTAACCCCTGCGCCACCAGGGAGGCCCAAGCCTGGAACCTTGATTCCAAGAGGGATTGGCTGGCACCTTGCCTTTTGGTTGCTCCTTGTAGGCAGCAGCTCTTCTACTGGGTTGGCTGACCAGCCGGCAAGATTCCCACCTAGGCTAGCAGAGCCTGCTGCTGGCTCCTTGTTCCCAGTTGCGTTCGGCTTCTTATCTCCCGAGTGTTGTTCTATCCATATATCCATATCCCACAGGGGCTCTGGCAGCAGCCAGTGGGTACATAAATTCCAGGGGAATTGGATTGGCCAGTGTTTCGTGGTGGGGGAAGCTGGCGCATGGAAAAGGCTGGTCTGAAAAAGGCTATAGTTCTGCTCCCTCCAGTTGTGCAGATTCCTTCACTCGTAGGGTGAGAAGGGTGTGGCTCTATGCACTTCCTTCTGCAGCTCCGTGAGTTCTGAGGGCTCAGGCTAGGTCTCCTCCAACATCAAGGTCCTGTCCTTTTATTCTGAGCATCTAATCTAACTCCTGACGGATGCCAGAATGTCAGCTCTCGTGTTCTCTGAAGCAGGAACCTTGCCTTGGTATGAAAACCCCAGTGGTTAAGAGCCTTTGTTCCCTCCCAAACAGATTATTTCACTGTTGGAAAGTTCTACTTTCTCTTTGTCTAAAGTGGGTTTCCTTATTCCTCCCACCTCTCGGTCCAGGCTCTGCCCTCTGGCACAGCTGATGTTTTTGATCACAGGTTTAGCAGGAGCTCCGTGTGCTCTCACCTCCTCAGCTCCAGTCTTCTTCTCTAGACTGACTTCTTCAGCTTCTGTGGCTGGAATGTGTCCCTGGGACCCTTGCTGGGGTGTGACTTGGGCTGCGCTGCCCAAGGCTTCACTATCCTAAGGGCAGGGAGGCTCAGGCCAGAGCTCAGCATGTCACATGGACTGTGACTGACACAGTCTGAAGGACAAGTGCCCTTTGCTCATGCAGCCTGACAACACTTTCCTATACTTTTCTGAGCATGCTCTGGCACTACCCCCCGCCCTTGTTCAGCCTCCTGCTGGTCATCTCCGTGCAAGGACCATTTTCCCTTCATCCTGGACTTGTGCACCCTGTGTGAGTCTGTGGGGGCCTGCCTGGGTCTCTGCCATGTTTCTCTGGTTGTGCTTAGAGATCCTTTCCAGACAGGTGAAGGTCTTATTGAATCCAGACTCTGTCCCCTAAATGGGATAATAACTAAGGCAGTGTGCTTGTTTCAGAAGTTATGCTGCAAAACTGTGAGCCCACTTCCCAGACCCCTATGTCTGACCTCGGGTGGCCAGTGTTGGGCTCTCCAGGCCAACGTCTTGCCAGCTTGGGTTGGGTTTGCTAGCTGAGGACAGTGGTAGAGCCATGGCTGGATTGGAGAGGCCACCGCTCCTGGCACTCCAGCCACACATTAGCCTCTGTGCCCTGTGGAGGGAATGCACTATAGGCCCGTCCTTCCTCGGTGGCTGGTGTCATGCTGATCTTTGAGGTGTGTTGGCGTTCATTCTGTAGTGTGCATGTCCCCAGGGGCAGCAGGTGCTCTGCAGATGAATATTTTAAACACACATAGAAGGAGAAGAGATGGACTGTAAACCCACCACCCAGCTTCAGCAATGAAGTGTTTTGCCAACTTGTTTTTATCTGTATTCCTCCAACATTTGTCTTAGCTTGAGTATTTCAGTTAACATCCATACGTGTCATTTCAATCACAAATACTTGAGGATGTACTTCCTTCTAATAGTTAAAAGGTGTTTTTATTTTACTCCAATGCCTTTATCACAGCCAACAAAGTAGCTAGATCTTAATATAACCTAAAACCTATGTTCAATTTTCCTCTTTTTTTTTTTTTAGATTTTGTTTATTTTATTTTTGCATAGAACTGGGATGCAGGCTGGAGGGGCAGGGTGGGGTGGTGAGAGTATTCACAGAGACAGAGTGGGGACCAGAACGGGCAGATCTACTGAAATACACTGCTGAGGGGAGCAGATGAGACAGGAGAGGTCTTATGTGCCATGTGGGTCACTTCCCTGACTGTGGATTAAACTCAGGCTGTTGCGGCGGTAGTGTTAAGATTAATTCCTAGGCCACCAGGGAGGCCCTTTCCTTGATTATCTTAAAAATGACTTTTTAGATTTGGTTTGTTCAAATCAAGATCTAAACAAACCTTGCATATATGTAGAAGATGTGTGTAGCGTATGTATGTATTTGTTTCAAGAGAATAATTTGCATATTTTTACTAACTATAATACTAATGAATGTTGTTTAAGAGTTCCTTGTGGTTTCTTTCATCCTTAGTTTATATCTTTGTAGGATGTACAAAGTTCTGTGATTTTGAGTTTTAGAGATATTTCTTCTCTGTGTGGTTATGCTATTAAGAGGATATAAAGTGAAGCTCTTTTTTTCTCAGTTTCTGTTCATTTTGTAAGGATTGCTTTTTGATTAGATATCTGTTGCCATCATCATTACTGCATAATAAACCATTCAAAACAGAGTGGCTCAAACAGCAATTTTTATTCTTAGACCTACATTTCATGCTGGCTAGAATTCACTAATCCGGACTGGACTCTGTGCTGCAGTTGAGTCCAGGTCTGCTGCTTGTTTCTCTCATCCTCCTTGGATAGCTGGTGACCCAGGGCATCTTCTCCCCATGGTGATGCAGACACACAAGACGGCAGGCCTAATCTCTCTCTCTCTCTCTCTCTCTCTCACACACACACACACACACACACAGATTTTAAGCCTCTCTTTTATTTTTTAAAATAAATTTTATTTTTTTAAATAAATTTTATTTATTTATGCATACGAGAGCTGGGGTGCAGGCTGGAGGTGCGGGGGGTGGGAGGATTCACCAGAGACAGAGTGGGGAACGGAACAGGCGGATCCACTGAAATACACTGCTGAGGGGAGCAGCAGGCAAGACAGGAGAGGTCTGCTGTGCCATGTGGGTTAACTCCCTGGCTGGGGATCGAACTCGTGCTGCAGTGGCTGCTGATAGCTTCATAGTACTGAGACTTGCACCACCAGGGAGGCCCTAATGCCACTCCCTTGCACCACCAGGGAGGCCCTAAAGCCTCTCTTTTAAATGACACATCTGCTAGCGTTCCTTTAGTCAAAGCAATTAATATTTAAACCCAAAGTTAAGGGAGTGGTTACTATGGCTGTGTAACAAATTACCCCAAAATTTAGTGGCATAAAACAGCCATTACTGCGCTCACAGATTCTGTAGGTCGGAAATTTGGACAGCTGACAGTGGGATGGTCTATTTCTGTGCCAGTGTCTGGAGGTTCAGCTGGAAGACTCAATTGAAGGCTGTGGACTGGAGCCATCTACCATGTCCTCACCATTTTCATGTGTCACAGTTGATACTGGTTGTCTACTGCGGGCCTTCCTGCTTCTCCATGTGGGCTAGTTTGAGCTTCTTTACTACCTGGTTGTGGGGTCCCAAGAGTGTTCTGAAAAAGAGAGAGATAGATAGAGGGTGTATTATCTTTTACGATCTAGTCTTATACATGTTACTTCTGCTGCATTCTGTCATTGAGACAATCACAAAGTCCTGCCCGAGTTTGAGAGGAGAGATGTTCAGGTTCTATAAGACCATGTGGGATTGGAAGTCTTGCTGAGACCATGTTTGGAAAACAGTGCCACAGCTAGAGAGTTGGGGAGTCACATGGCAAAAGGCAGCCAATCCACAAAGGTGAAGAATTGAGAACAATAATGCCATCTAACTTACTTTTTTTTTGATTTTCTTAAAATTATGTGTGATTGCAAATAAACCAAGGTATATTGAGAGAGGTCAGGTTCCATTTTGTTCCCTTCTACCTTGTTCTTTTCTCTCTGACAAAGCCATTTTTGTCATTTTTTCCATTGTGTTTTGAAAATATAAGGGAAAGTATGCATTTATTTATCTCTCTTTTCAATATAAATGATAACAGATTCCAAACCTTCTTCTGTACTTTGCATTTTTTCACATATCTGTAAGATCACCCTGTAACAGAAATGGAAATCCTCCTGACTTTTCCTTGCATCTGCACAGTGCTCTGCATATGAACTGCCATGGTTCTTCCACAGCAGTTGCCCCGTATCCAATCTTTTGTTCTTACAAAGAGCACCACAGTGAGGAATTCACTGTATATGCCATTTTGTATTTTTACCTATGTATCTGTGGGATAGTTTCTTAGAAGTAGGATTTCTGAAACCAAATGGTAGATCCACAAGTTGTTTTTTTATGTGTTGCCACGCCTGAGGGGCAAGGGCAGAAGCAGGGAGCTAGTGAGGGGCTGGGATAGTATTTGGGTGTGAGAGGATGTCACTGGACCAGGACAGGGGTGGGGGTTGGGAAGCAAGGAGGGCATGAGGGTGCTGAAAACTGCTCATCTTCTAAATATATTCTGGATGTGGAGCCAGAAGGATTGCTGAAGTGTTGGCTATACAGAACTAGAAAAAGAGAGAAGTCAGGCAGACCCCTGAGGGTTTTTTTTTTAGATTTATTTATTTATGCATATAAGAACTGGGGTACAGGCCAGAGGTGTGTGTGGGGGTGAGAGGATTCACCAGAGACAGAGTGGGGAACAGAACAGGCAGACTGATGAAGTACACTGCTGAGGAGAACAGCGGGCGAGTTAGGAGAGGTCTGCTGCGCCATGTGGGTAGCTTCCTGGCTGGCTGGGGATCGAACTTGTGCTGCAGTAGCTGCAGAGAGCTTCATAGGTTGCGTCTTAACCCCTTGTGTCACCAGGGAGGCCCAGACCCCTGAGTTTTGACTTGAACGTTGGTGCACACTGGATGCAACGGAGATGGACTATGATGGAGACTTTGTTCCTGATATGCTGTGTTTTAGAGGCATCCAAGTGAGCTGTCAGGTAGGCAGCTGGGTATTCAGTTCTCCATGAGAAATAAAGTAGCACTTCACCTGTAAATGCTTTACTATTAATGCCACCTGCTTCCTACAAGTACCCAGGGAAAGAGTAAGGAAGAAGAAGAAATTGAGGCAATACTGGAGTTCCAAGAGGGTGAATCAAGTACATTTAATTCAACAAACATTTATCTTATCAAATGAAGTGTCATAAATGAAAACACTCAGCATGAGCCTTGGCATTAAATACCAGTTGGTGCCTACTTCCTGCCTAGGGCTGAGGATGTACAGGTGAACAGGTAGAGATTAGCATCCTTATTTCCTGCCATACAACATATTTGAACAATACTTGATTAAGGTATGGCCTCAGCCCTCTGAGAGTTCTGACTCGGTAGGGAGCATTTGGGGGGGCTCAGGACCCTCCTCATGCGCCTCATCTTCACATACAATTGCTAAAACAGATACAGAATTTGGACTGCAGACTGGAGAGTTTACTTGGCACTTCCTATAGGCTCTAAGAATCCACTGCTGGGCAGGGATGAAGCCTAGGCCACCAGAGCCACAGAGAACACCCCCCTCTATGGGAAGAGTGTCACTTTGCTTCTTAACTCTCACTTGTGTTCAAGAAACTTCAGGAAGTTTAGACAGTAGTGTGGGGCAGGGTCCCCTCGGAAATATAGGAATTAAGAAGAGGGCAAGAGAGTGGGAGCCCCTGGTGTGGGGCAGCTGCTCTGGAGTGGTGATCTTCTGGTGGAAAATAGGGTAGAGATACCATAATTTAAACTCTGGGTCATGCATTTCTCTGCATCCAGGGCCTGGGATGCCGACTGTGGCACCTGCAGTGGCTCAGAAGCCGGTGGACTGGAGCAGGGTTTTCCCAATTCATCCTTGCTCCCTCCTGTACTGAAAGTTGTTTTGCAAATGATAGTGCTCAGTGCCGATTGCCAGGGTCAAAGAAACTTCCTGCCAAGGCACCTTTGGGGAGCTGTGCTGCAGGTTGAGCCTGTGGAAGAAGGGCTGTGGGGAGCAGGCAGAAAAGGGCAGCTTGTTCTGCATGCTCCCAATAGACCACACCTGCCACACTATCTCTCCCCACTCAACCCCTTTACTCCCTAGTTTTATCAGAATGTGATAGGAGCCCACCCAGGAGCCCCTGCTCTTACTAGTACTTTGCAGCTCCCTGGCCATCCTGGTGTGCGCCTTGGCTTGCCTGAGCTGTGGAGACAGACTGAGGAGCGGCAGGCAGTCTCTGCGCTGTCCCTTCCCCAGCACCCAGTCAGGTGTGAGGAGCTGGAAAACCCATCCAGGACTCCAGGGACAGGTGCCAGAGCTACACAACCTGCTTCTTTTCTAACTGGTAGAAACCTCTACAGCCCTTAGTGTGGAGTGATGAAACCAAACATGTCCTCTCTGTTCTCAACTCAGAGAGCCAGAGAGCCTGGTGGGGCCTCTTGGGGGAGACACCACCCCTTCAATTGCCAAGACTCCAGCTCACCGCTCTGGGTCTGCCTGGTGGTGCTGAGAACCTGTCTTCTGAGGCACAAAGAAAGGAAGCGAGAAGTTTTTCCTTTTGGGAAAGCACCCTGTGCCCCTTGTACTCCTTGTCTGAGCATTCACTTGGGAACTCACAGGCTTGTGCGACAAGGGATTGGGGGGACAGTGACCCCACAAGCCATTAAGGCTCACCTCCTGTTGAGATTTGGCAGGGAACATGGGCCTCTGCCAGGTTCCCTCAGCTTCCTTTTCCTTAGTTCTTAGTCCTTAGTTCTGAGAGAAAAAAATGACATTCCTATAAGGGCACGCATTGCCTTTGAAAAGATAGTAATGATCCTTGGTGCTAACAGTAATTTTGTGTATATACACTTTTTTCCTCTGTGTAGCTCTGACTAATGGAGGGTCAGGACCACGGGTTGGCATACAGAGGTCAGAGAGCAAAAAATGTTTTTTCAAGAACGCCATAGCAAGAACCCCATAGGATGGGAATGTCAGTGACTTTGTTTGGTGTCCATAACAGATCCTAAAACTGTTTTGTTCAGGAATGGAGTAGACCTCTCCCCAGACACAGACCCGGCTTTTCCTGGGACCCCAGGTCATTGAGAATGGCTAAGCAGAGTGTGGGTGATGAAACAGAAGGGGGAGGAAGAACCTGAGATTCCCAGCTCCAGCGTCTGCTGGGTGAATCTTCCTGACTACTTTGGGATGAGGAAGCTTTTATATGTTTAGTGAAGGGGTTCGGCATCCGGTGTGCAGAACTGGTCTGGCGCCCTCCCTGCCCCTAGGTCAAGTGGGCTGGGTTTGGGAAGCAAGAGACAGCCTCAGTGTGGTCTTGGGATATGAGGCTTCAGAATGAAAAGAGAAGAGTGCAGGCCCCACTCGATGGAGTTTGGGGGCGAGGTCTCTGCTGCAGAGACTCCACGGAGTGACCCACTTTGTGGTGTGTACCCTTGTGCCAGGCCCCAGAGTCCTCAGGGTGCAGTCGGGAATGAGAACAGAGATTGTTCAGTCCTTTCTTTTGCATGCTGCCATGGACACAGGCGCTATCTTAGTGAATAAACTGTAAGATTTTGGCCCTCAGGGAGTGTACCGCCTTCAGGAGAAAGACTCAAAACTATAGGTGGTTCTGGTAAAGTGTGTGGGTATTATCGGAGGATGTGAGGGTGGGTTTTGATACACAGGATGCAGGTGTCACTAGCAGTATCTTCCCATCACAGATTAACTTCTCCAGAGACCCTGCTTTATCCCCAGGGAAGGTTTTGTTCCCAAAACACGCAGCCTCACTTTGAGATTGTTTCTTTGTGCAACATTTTGTTCACTGTTTATTTTTGTTCAGTCTCTTGTTCGTTCAACATACGTGATTAGCCTCACTGACTATTAGGTTTGTGCAGGCTCTGATTCGTGGAAGAAACAGAACAGTGAGGCTCTCTGGATTCCACGGTCTGTGTGAGCGTGAAGAGCCCAGGAAAAACCACTCAGTCTCGAGGAAGGAGCGAGAAAGGAGCAGCAGAGCTCTGGAGCCTTCACCATAGCTCTCAGTGCCCATGTCCTGTCAGCCTCGGGCAGCATTTCTTCTCTACCTGCTGAGGGCCGGGCCTCAGATGACCTCAGGGGATGCTCATCCCCTGACACATGTAAACACATGTGCACAAGTACACATATGCACGTGTGCACACATTCCCTGACCCTGCTACCTCCTCCTAGGACGGCATTTTCTTGTTCTTAGCCGCCTAAGGGTTCAGCTACATTTGACCAGCTTTCCTCTGGAAAGCCCCTCCTTGGTTTTAGCGGCACCTCCTTGTTTACCTTTCATGCACTGTGCCATCACTTACCCTACACCTTCTGTAGGGCTGAAATAGTACTTAGTGTTGGGCTTATAGGACCTTTTCCTTGGGAAAACTTGAGCCTGTTCCATGATGGAATTAATCTGATTTAAAGACTTTGTTTGGTGTCCATAACAGATCCTAAAACTCTTTTGTTTGGGAAGGGAGCAGACCTCTCCCCAGACACAGACCCGGCTTTTCCTGGGACCCCAGGTCATTGAGAATGGCTGAGCAGGGTGTGGATGGTGAAAGAACACTTCCGGTGGGAAATACCAGCCGACTTGGACACCCCTGCTTGTTTCTCTTATTGTTCTCCCTGCTGTTTCTCTCTAATCTGGTGTTTCTGGCTTCTTTGGGCTCCTTGGGAATCTTGGCAACTCAAAGCTCACATATCCCTCTCTCCTTTTCCTTTCTCTCTCTCTTCCATTTTCAGATTTCCAGGGGGCAGGCTGAGAGGCTCAATGTGGCGCAGGGCCCAGGAGAGCTCTGATCCCCAGTACAGGTACACAGCCTGCACAGGCCCCTTTTACACACCTGGGGTGGCCCCAAAAGCAGCCTCACAGTTGAGCAAGGGAGACTAAGATAAGAGGTAAACTCAGGGAAAATTCCAAAAGGCTAGTTCATCTTCCCTACTCTTCTTCCCCTTATTCCCTCTCCCCTCTTTTCTCAAAGCAAGGACCGTCTCCCAGCTGTTTGCTTCGCTGATGACCTGTTCAATCTCTTCTAGCCTGACCTCCAAGCATCTTGAGGCTACCAGTCTCCAGTTGTCTATTGAGCTCAGCTGCCCTAGTTGAGAGCTGGCACTGCCAGGCTCTCCAGTCTCTGCTTTTGTAGAGGATGGGATTGTGCTTTTCTTGCCAGTCCCTTTTCATTATTGAGATCAACTTTCATTTTCATGGCCTCCTCGGATCCGTCAGCTACATGTGCAGTAGGGGAAGGGCAGTGGATAGGTGGCATCTGCCAGATGCCTCTCTTGGGGACAGCTCTCAGGTACCCTTAGACTCAGGGAGGCCTCCTTAAGGAACCCAGGCTCATGGAAACTTGTCCATCCTCCTCTTCTTGGGCACTATGCCATGGTCTGAGCTGCCATGGCGAACAAAGCAGACATAGCCCTATTCTTGAAGACCTAAGGGCTAGTTGGGGAGACTGACATTAATCACACTCAAATGCAAATACTGATGAAGGAATAGGATCAGAAACCATGAGAAGTAGTGCTGGAGAAAGTGGTGCCAGGGTGAGGATATGGGAATGGGATGTCTGCAAGGTGAAAAGGGGCCAAAGAAGCATGTAGGAGATTCGAGGGGGCTGAGCCTTCTAGGCAAGATGACCCACACATACCAAGACCCCGAGGCTTGTGTTCGAATGAGCAGGAGGTCATTTTCAGTGAATGAAAAGTTAGAAATATATATGGGAGCAAAGGGGGAGCAATAGTACATGGGCCTATTTCCAGCCAGGACATATTACTGTGAGCTGGTTGTTTAGATGGAGTCTGCCTCCTGTGTCCCCTCCGACCATACCCTAGTTTTGCTTTTTCCTCTGGGCTCCGATAGAAGTTCACTTCCACTCCCCACTTCTGGGCTGTTTGTCCAGCTGACGCCCCCTGCCACTGGGCAGGGGCTCCAGCTCCCTGAAGAAAAGTAGAAAGGTAGCAGCAATGCTTTTTAAGACATTTTTGGATGCACAGTCAAATTCCTATCTTTCCCAGGAGTAGAGGCATTGTTAGATGTAACTGCTGGCCAAGGCTCATTGCACAGATTTCCCCATTGAGTGGAAAACTCACTCTCTAACCTCAGGGGTCACCTGCAGGATCCCTTCTGCTGGCCAGCATGTCAAGATGACCTTTAAACCTCTTCCATGTGTGGTCCTTTCTCCTGGGTCTCTCATACCCCAGAGAATCTGGTATCCAGGTAAGACAGAGAAGGCCATGTGGGTCAGAACGATTGCTAAGGTGTGCACACAACAAAATGGAGGATGGCTCTTGGGTCCCACTGCTTGTCCAGGAAGAGGAGAACTTATTCCAGTAGCCTCAGACTCTCATCCATCCTAAGACTCCCATGCAGAGCTATGTTTCAGCTTTTCTTCCAGAACCTGCTTCTGGGCCCCCTTTTGTTCTTGGACCATGAACAATGGTCCAAGAGCATGAACCATGCTCTTTTCTATCTGATGGCCTTTGTTTCCCAGCCAGGTCCTGGCCTCTGGCCTCTTTCTCTTTTCCATGACCACAGCCTCCCTGTGGCATTGCTCTGACTGTTGCCTTAGTCCAAAAGCTTGGTGTTGAGGTTAGGGTCAGGGAGGGCCTTTGCTCCTTTTCTCATAGCAGAACAATGCTGAGCAACTATCAACAGCTACTGCGACTCACCAGGCTTCGCAAAGGAACTCTTCAGAAAAACAGGTGCTTAAGCTCAGTCTTGGCAAAGTGTGGCCTCCCTGTGGAGAATCTACAGTGGGTGGGCCCAGGTTTCTCCTGGATTTAGAAGCTTGGTCTGTCCCAACTGGGTCTTTCCTAAGGATGCTGCCAATGTCTTCTCTCTAAGCAGGTGTGCAGCAAGGGCACCCTAGAGGTAGGCCACTAGCCCTCATAGCCATATCAGCCTGTGACAGGGCCCCTAGGGAGGCTTTCCTTGCCACTTGTCTGTAGAATGGGCCTCTTAAAACCCCAGGATCACAAGCCACACCTTAGGAAGTCACGCCCAGGCCTCTAGAGATACTTAACAGAGACCCACCCCCCCCCCAGGTCTGACCCCATTGTCTGGCTGAGTTTATGAAAGGAGGAGAGACAAAGAGAGGAGAGAATGGAGGTGCATTGGGGAATTGGGGCAGGAAGTCCTACCCATGGTGGCTTCCCCTGGGAGCATGATACCACCGATCACAGTCTGTGTGGTTACTTTGCATGAACCAGGCACAGGGAGCAAGTTTACCAGATTCCCATCCCAGACTAGGTCACAGGGAGCGCTGGGCTACCCAGCAGGGAGGGGCATCATTTCATTTTCTATAGTAACAGACATTTATTTATTTATTTATTTATTTTAAAAGATTTATTTATTTATTTATACAAGCACTGGGTACAGTCAGAAGCGCGGGAGGGTGAGAGAATTCACCAGAGCCAGAGCGGGGAGCAGAGCAGGCAGAAGGACCGAAGTACACTGCTGAGGGGAGCAGAGGGAGGCAGGGGAGGTCTGCTCGCCATGTGGGACCCTCCTCCGGTGGCCTGGGAGCAACCGGGGATCGAACCGGCGCTGCAGAGGCTGCAGGCTGCTTCATAACCCAGCACTCAACCGCTGCGCCTCCCGGGAGGCCCTATAGTAACAAATATTTAATCACCAAACAAAATTTGTGACCCCTGAGTGCCCAAGGACTGCTCTAAGCAAAATATTAGGTCACAATAATAAAGTGGTACCTACTCCAGAAATCAATGCTCTGGGGAAAGATGTGTTGCCTAGGAGGGGACACAAAGCTATGCTTAGTCCCCTTTTCTCCTGAGGCTTAGCAAAAATGGGGCCACACAAAAACAGATGAGTGGATCAAGAAAATGTGGTATAGGTCCTCCCTGGTAGCACAAGGGGTTAAGTCTCAGCACTCTGAAGCTGTCCGAAGCCACTGCGGCAGAGTTCGATCCCTGGCCAGGGAGCTGGCCCACACGGAACAGCAGACCTTCTCCTGTCTCGCTCGCTGCTCCCCTCAGCAATGTGTTTCAGTGGGTCCGCCAGTTCTGTTCCCCACTCTGTCTCTGGTGAATCCTCTCACCCCCCACACCTCTGGCTTATACCCCAGTTCTTGTGTGCATAAATAAATAAATCTTAAAGAAAAAGAAAATGTGTGGGCCTCCCCTGGTGGCGCAGCGGTTGAGCGCTGGGCTGCGAAGCTGCCCACAGCCTCTGCAACGCTGGTTCTATCCCCGGCCCCTGGGCGAGGGTCCCACATGGCACGCAGACCTCTCCTGCTGCCCGCTGCTCCCCTCAGCAGTGTACTTCGTCACTCTGCCTGTTCTGCTCCCCGCTCTGGCTCTGGTGAATTCTCTCACCCTTCCGCACTTCTGACTGTACCCAGTGCTTGTGTAAATAGATAAATAAATCTTTAAAAAAAAAAAAAAGAAAATGTGCTATATACACACAATGCAGTACTCCTCAGCGATCAAAAAGATAAACTCATGCCATTTGCAGCAACATGGATGGAGCTGAAAGGGATTATGCTAAGCAAAATAAGTCTGAAGGAAAAAGAAAATTATTGGATGGTTTCACTTATAGAAAGAATATTTGGAAACTGAACAAAGGGTCAGAAAAAAAGAAAAAACTAGCAGGCAAATTATAGATCTGAGACATTACCATCTTTGTATTCCAGGGATAAGTCCCACTTGTTTGTGATGTTGATGAATTCAGCTTGCTGGTATTTTCTTGGGGAATTTTGCATCTGTAAGGAATATTGATCTGTAATTTTTTTTCTTACACATTGATATGAATTCTTTTTCAATGTTTAGTAGAGTTCACCAGTGAAGCCTGGGTTTGGGCTATTCTTTATAGGAAGTTTTTATTTTTTATTTTTTTAAATTTATTATTTTTATTTATACAAGCACTGGGTACAGTCAGAAGCGTGGGAGGATGAAAGAATTCACCAGAGCCAGAGCGGGGAGCAGAGCAGGCAGAAGGACCGAGGTACACTGCTGAGGGGAGCAGCGGGCAGCAGGAGAGGTCTGCTCGCCATGTGGGACCCTCCTCCAGTGACCGGGGAGCAGCCGGGAATTGAACCAGCGCTGCAGAGGCTGCGGGCAGCTTCACAACCCAGCGCTCAACTGCTGTGCCACTGGGGAGGCCCCTATAAGAAGTTTTTAAATTACTAATTCAATTGTTACTCCTTATGGATCTATTCAGATTTTTTATTTCTATCCAATTTTTGTGAAGAAGCCAGTGAGGATTCTTCCTGCTTTGATAGTTTGCATCTTTTTTGGAATTTGTCCATTAAATCTAAATTGCCTAAGGGCATGTGATTATTCATAGTAATCTCCTGTAATCCTTTTTATTTATTTAAGGTTAGTAATGATATCCTCTCTTTCATTTCTGGTTTTTGTCATTTGAGTGTTTTCATCACAAGAAGATTTGTTGGTTTTGTTGATCTTTTCAAAGAATCAGCTTTTCATTTCACAATTTTCTCTTTTTCTTTCTATTTTCTGCTCATTTAGTTCTGTTCTAATTTTTATTATTCCCTTCATTGTACCTACCTTGTGTTTAGTCTGCTCTTTTTTTTCTAGTCATTAAGTTAGGAGTTTAGGTTATTGATTTGAAGTCTTTCTTTTTTTGAATAGAGGCATTTATAACTATAAATTTTCCCCTGAGCCCTGCTTTCACTGTATCCTATGTTTTAGTATACTGCATTTACATTTTCATTCATCTCAAAGTATTTTCTAATTTCCCTTGTGATCTCTTTTCAATCTCTTTGTTATTTAGGAATGTGTTATTTAACTTAACACTTATTTTGTGAATCCTCCAAATTTCTTTGTTATTGATTTCTGAAATAATTGTGTTGTGTTCAGAGAACATACTTTGTATTATTTAAATCCTTTAAATTTATTGAGTCTTGTTTCATGGTCTACCCTATGATCTAACATGGAAATGTTCCAAGTGCACTTCAGAAGTATGTGCATTCTGCTGTTGTTGGTTAGTGTCTTATAGGTGCCTATTAATTCCAATTGGTTTATTGTGTTCAAGTCTATTTTCTTGTTGGTCTTCTGCCTTGTAATTCTATCTATTATTAATAAAGTATGAAGGACTCCAACTATTGTTGGATTGTCTACTTTCCGCTTTAATTCTTTCAGTTTTTGTTTCATGTATTTTGGGACTCTGTTGTTAAGTATATATATATATATATATATATTTATGTTTGTAATTGTATATAGTTATGTATTTAAGCTATATATTAGTTACATATAATTGTATATAATTATAATAATTATATATAATTTAAATCTTCCTAATGGATCGCCCCTTTTTATCAGTCTCCACCTCAGTAACATTTTCTTTTGTTCTAAAGTCTATTTGTCTGATATTAGTATAGTCTGATATCAGCAAAGTATCAGTATACTGATATTGTTATAGTATAGAGACTGTATTAGTGTAGTCTCTGTGGTTGCTCTTGGCTTGGTAATCATTTTAAAGCATTTAAAAATATTTCACCCTATTTGTATCTTTGAATTTAAGATTATCTTTTATTTTATTTTTTTTAAAGTGCATTCAGATTTGACTTGGTTTTTGTTTTTTTTTAAAGATTTATTTATTTTTATACAAGAGCTGGGGTACAGACCAGAGGCATGGGAGGGTGAGAGGATTCACCAGAGACAGAGTGGAGAGCAGAACAGGCAGACGATTGAAATACACTGCTGAGGGGCGCAGTGGGCGCCACAGGAGGGGTCTGCCACGCCATGTGGGAATCTTCTTGGCCAGCCGGGAATTGAACGGGTGCTGCGAAGGCTGCAGACAGCTTCACAGCGCTGCACTCAACCTGCTGTGCCACTGGGGAGGCCCAAGATTATCTTTTATAAATAACATGTATTTGAGTCTTTTTAAATCAAGTTTGATAATCTCTACACTTTGATTAGATTAACCAATGTTTATTTAAATAATAATAGTGATATGTGGGACCTAAGTCTGCCAGTTTGCTTTTTCTTTTCTGTTTATCTCATACTTTTTTATTCCTCTATTCCTCCTTTACTGCTTTATTTTGTATTAAGTGGACACTTTCTAGAATAATATCTTAATTACTGTGATGACTTTTAAGTTACACGTATTTAACTTATTTGTCTACTGTTTGCTTTAAGACTACACACAATATACCTCTTACCTTGACAGAGTTGACTTTATTTTTTATATATATTTTTTTTTAAGGATTTTTATTTATTTATTTATACAAGCACTGGGTACAGTCAGAAGCGCGGGAGGGTGAGAGAATTCACCAGAGCCAGAGCGGGGAGCAGAGCAGGCAGAAGGACCGAAGTACACTGCTGAGGGGAGCAGCGGGCGGCAGGAGAGGTCTGCGCGCCATGTGGGACCCTCCTCCGGTGGCTGGGGAGCAGCCGGGGATCGAACCGGCACTGCAGAGGCCGCGAGCAGCCTCGCAACCCAGCGCTCAACCGCTGCGCCACCGGGGAGGCCCTAGAGTTGACTTTATTATGCCAACTTGATTACATTGAAATATAAAAACTTTATTCCTATATAGCTCCATTATTTCCCCTCTCTCTTTGCGCTGTTACCTATTACATCTGTATATGTTACAAATCCAACAATACATTGTTATTATTACTCTATATAATATTATTTTATGTTATGTGTAATCTTATATAGACCTTTTAAAGAAGCTAAGAGAACAAAGGAAAACAAATATATATTTGTGGATTTTGTTATACTAACTTTCTTATTTATCATTTCTGACTATCCTAATTTTTTCTTGTGACTACAAGTTACTATCTAATGTCATTCCCTTACTTCAGTACAGCTTTCTTCCCAACACCTCCTTTGTACTCTTTTTGTCAAACACATTGCATTTCTATATGTTATAAGTTCAGTAACACATACACATGGTTTTATGAGATGGCCTTTTAATCATTTAAGAGAATAAAAGAGAAGATTGCACTTTCTTTTATATGTATCTACATAATTACCTTCACAGGCACTCTTTGTTTTTTTGTGTAGATTCAAATTACTGTGTGGTGTTGAATGCTGTCTGCTTGTAAAACTTCCTCTATTATTTCCTTATACCCTCAACAGCTTTATTGAGCTATGATTGTCCTTTATTATTTCATATAAGGCAATCTCCTACTAACTGTTTTTTCTGCTTTTGTTTATCTGAGAAGGTCTTTATTTTGCCTTTACTTTAAAAAATAGCTACTTTCCAGAGATTTTTAAAGCTCATTTTATATTTATTATTAAAAGATTGTGGATTCTGCCTTTTCATGAAGATGGTGCCAAAAGTAAAGAAGGAAGCCCCTGCTCCTGCCAAAGTCGAAGACAAAGCAAAAGCTTTGCAGGCCAGGAAGCAGTGCTGAGAGCCGTCCACAGCCACAGGAAACAGAAGACCCGCACGTCACCCACCTTTCAGAGGCCCGGGGCGCTGCGACTCTGCAGACAACCCTGATGTCCGGGGAGCGCACCCCCGGGAGAAACAACTGGAGAGCTGCGCCGTCATCAAGTGGCTCCCAGTCAGCCATGAAGAAGAGAGAAGACAGCAGCACACTTTGTTCGTGGCAGGAGGTGGGGAGTGGGGGTCAAGCTCCAGGTCAGACAGGCCGTGAGAAGTTCTGTGACAGTGATGTGGCCAAGGTCAAGGCCCTGATCAGACCTGAGGGAGAAGGCATGTGTTCCATTGGCTCCTGACTACGATGCTTTGGATATTGCCAGCAAATTGGTATCATCTAAGCCTAGCCCAGCTGGCTAATTCTAAATATGTATTTTTTTCATCATAAAAGAAATAAAAGATTGTGGCTTCTGATAAGGTTTAGAATGAAGACAGAGTAACATTATGAAATGATTAAATATCAATGCATTTCTTATTTATATCATTTTCAAATGGCAAGCCAGTGGAGTAGGATAATTTGAGAGATATTTGGTTTTTTGAAAATTGAGATTATTTATAGATTCAAATGCATTTGTAAGAAATAATGTAGAGATGTTCCTTTTACATTTTTCCTAATGTCTCAGTGGTAACATTTTCTAAAACTGTACTCTATTATCATAACCAAGATACTGATATTCCTACAATTCCCCAGTCTTATTCAGATTTCCCTAGTTTTACTTGTATTCATTTTTGTGTGTGCTTATTATAGTGTATATAGTTTTATCACCTATGTAGATTTTGTATCCAGTACCAAGGTCAAGATTCTGAAAAGTTCCAGCCATGAGGATCTCTTGTGTTGTTCTTTTACAACTGCATCCACCTCCCTTCTGCCTCTCCCATCCCTGGCAACCACCAACTGACTCCACTTAAATTTTTTTTGTCATTTCAAAAATGTAAAGTGGAAGCACACACTAAATAATCTTTTTGGGTTTTTTTTTTTTTCACTCAGCCTAATTCCCTAGAGATTCACCTAAGTTGTGTCTATTAATAGTTGATTCTTTTTTTTTTTTAAGATTTATTTTTTATTTATACAATAGCTGGGGTACAGGCCAGGGGTGCAGGAGGGTGAGAGGATTCACCAGAGATAGAGCAGGAAGCAGAATAGGCAGATAGACCAAAAGTACTGCTGAAGGAGCGGCGGGTGCGGCAGGTGTGGCAGGAGAGGTCTGCTATGGTCATTTGGGTCAGCTCCCTGGCCAGGGATTGAACTTGTGCTGTAGTGGCTGTGGATAGCTTCATAGTGCTGTGTTTTAACCCCTTGCGCCACCAGGGAGGCCCACATGCTTAGTTTTTTTTTTTTTAATAGATAGCAGTGATTTTTTTTTTTTTTTTAGATTTATTTATTTATTTATACAGGCACTGGGTACAGTCAGAAGCGAGGGAGGGTGAGAGAATTCACCAGAGCCAGAGCGGGAAGCAGAGCAGGCAGAGGACAGAAGTACACTGCTGAGGGGAGCAGTGGGCGGCAGGAGAGGTCTGTGTGCCATGTGGGACCCTCCTCTGGCACCCGGGGAGCAGCTGGGAATCGAACCAGCGCTGCAGAGGCTGCGGGCAGCTTAACAACCCAGCGCTCAACCGCTGTGCCACCGGGGAGGCCCCCACATGCTTAGTTTTTAAAGAAACTGCCAAACTGTTTTCCAGTTTGACAGTACCATTCACCTTTCCACCATCAGTGTATGAGAGGTCCAGTTTCTTTGCATCCTTGTCAGCATATGGTATTGTCATTGTTTTTATTTTAGTTATTCTGATAGGTCTATAATGCTAACTCATTATGGATTTAATTTGCATTTCCCTTAATGGCTACGGACATTGAACATTTTCCATATGTTTATTTGCTATTTGTGTATCCTTTTTGGTATAATGTCTCTTAATTTATTTTGCCTGTTTTGCTAATTAAATGTTTTCTTCTCTTGAGTTTTATATATTCTGGATACCAGTCCTTTATTGGATATGTGGTTTCAAATACCTCTTCCTAGTCTCTAACTTTTCATTCTCTTACATTGCTTTAACAAAGCAAAACTTGTTAAATTTGGTGAAGTCCTCTCTATCAGTTTTTCCTGTAATGGATCATAATTTTAGTATCAAGTCTAAGAACTCTTTGCCTAACCTAGATCCTGAAGATTTTCCTGCCATTTTCATCTATTTTTCATTGTGAATTAATTTTTGTGTAAGAGGTGAGGCTTAGGGAAAAGTTCTTTTCTTTTTGGCCTGCAGATGTCCAGTTGCATGAACACCATTTGTTGAAAAGGCTATCCTTCCCCCATTGCGTAGGCTTTGTACTTTTGTAAAAAGCCAAGTAACTATTTGTATGGATCTATTTCTGAATCCTCTGTTCTATTCCATTGATTTATTGTGCCTGTTCTTTTATGGATACCACACTATCTTGATTTCTGTAGTTACATGGAGAGAGTTGATGTTGGATAGAATAATTCCTGCCACTTGACTTTTTTTTTTAAAGATTTATTTATTGGGCCTCCCTGGTGGCACAGTGGTTTGAATGCAGTGCTGTGAAGCTGTCTTCAGCCTCTACAGTGCGGGTTCGATTCCTGGCTGGCCAGGGAGATACCCACATGGTGCGGCAGACCTCTCCTATCTCGCCTGCTGCTCCCCTCAGCAGTGTATTTCAGTTCGCCTGCCTGTTCTGCTTCCCGCTCTGTCTGGTGAATCCTCTCACCCTCCCAAGCTTCTGACCTATACCCCAGTTCTTGTATAAAAATAAATAAATCTTTAAAAAAAAGAGATTTATTTATTTATGCATACAAGAACTGGGGTACAGGCCAGAGGTCTGGGGGGGTGGTGAGAGGATTCACCAGAGACAGAGTGGGGAACAGAACAGGCGGATTGACTGAAATATATTGCTGAGGGGAGCAGCAGGGGAATCAGGAGAGGTCTGCTGCGCCATGTGGGTATCACCCTGGCCGGGGACTGAACTCGTGCCGCAGCGGCTGCAGACAGCTTTATAGGTTGTATCTTAATCCCTTGTGCCACCAGGGAGGCCCTACTTGACTATTTTTTGACAAGATGACTTTTGTTCTAGAGCCCATACTATTCCATATACATTTAAGATAAGTTTGTCAGTGTCTATTAAAAATCTTACTGGGATTTATGTAAGAATTGCATTAGACCTAAAATCAATTTGGGAAGACTCATCATCTTTTATATGTTGAGTCTTTCAGTTCATTGACATAGTATGCCTCCTGATTTATTTAGGTGTATTTTTTAAATCTGTATTTTGTAATTTTTAGCATAAGGCTCCTATAAGAGTTTTTTTTTTAAGTGTGTATCTAAATATTTTCTTTTTCTTTAATTTTTTAAAATGCTTATTTATTTATGCATACAAGAGCTGGGGTGTAGCCCAGAGGTGCAGGGGGTGAGAGGATTCACCAGAGACAGTTTAGAAAGCAGAACAGGTGGATCTACTGAGATATACTGCTGAGGAGAGCAGCAGGTAAGACAGGAGAGGTCTGCTGTGCCATATAGGTTAGGTTCCTGGCTGGGGATTGAACTCAGGCCACAGGGGGATAGTGCTGAGACTTAACCCCTGTGCCACCAGGGAGGCCCAATATTTTATTTTCTTTGGATGATTGTATATGGTGTTATAAGAGGGAAATGAGAAATCTGGAGGCCTCCCTACCTTGGGGGTGAAATTATACCCTTAAAATGGAAGCTGGGGGTGAGGGGGCAAGAAGCCCTGTCTTCTTGGCCACCCCTGCAATCACATTTCGATAAGTCAGAGCCAGGGATGAGTAGATGGAGGGGGTTGTGGCCCAAGTGCCACAGACTCTTACTGTTCTGATTTTCTTCACAGTTTTCTTGAGTTCAGTGTTTGTTTTAGTGGAAAGAAGGTTCACCAATCTCTTCATTCCAGTCTTCTGGAAATCTTTTCCAGAGTTTTAAAAAAGTAATACTGTTACTCTTTGGTATAAAGCCAGACGTTGTTCTTCATCAATTCATATTTACTCTGTGAGTTTTGAGCGATCCTAAGAATCTTTAAGCACTGACTTTGCTCTTAAGGGTTTGCCTAGTAAAGAGAATCCCCTTGAATTTCCTTCCCCATCTAATCAGTGAGGGAGGACTGCTCTGTGCTTATGCTCTGGCCTGCTGCCAGGGGCTGCACAGGGATGGGCCCTTGCACGCTAGCTGCTGGAAGAAACCTCTGTGGGAAGAAAGTGGCCCGTTATCAAGTATCTTGGGGTGTAATATATGCATTGGTGCTCAGATGGTGGGTGGATGAAGCCAACAACAACTGTGTCAGTTCAGGAGGAGGAGAGAGAAAGAGCAGCTCAGAAGAGGACCCTAGATTGGGTGACCTGAGCCTGGGTCTTGATGAGCTAGGCTTGATTCTGGCCCTGGGATTGGGATGGTGGCTGGGATGTTTGGCCTTTAGGAGAGGAAGCTCTCCTAGGAGAGGAAGACAGTGACGTATGCAGGAGCTGTGCGGAGACCAATCTGACTGGGAGGGATGGCTGGACTGAGGACATTAGGTTGAGTGGCGTGGTGAGGTCAGAGGCTAGAGGGTTAGGAATGGCAGGTCGAAGGTTTTGGATTTGAGACTAAAGGTGGCAGGGGAGTTGTTGAAGATTGCTGAGGTTTGCTAGGAAAATTCTTTCGGTTGCTCTATATGATATGCATGATGGTGTAACCTGAAACCTTGAGAATGAGTGGAGGCTATAATCACAGCCCAGGACCCTACCTTGGAGCCAGTGACAGAGAATGTTGACAGACTGAGGCAGCCAGTCTCAGAATGACACCTAAACAGTGTTTCTGGTTTTTTGTATGTTATCACTCACACAGTTTGCTTCTGACCCGCAGGAAATGAGGAAGGGAAAGTGAGGAGTCATCTTCAAGACTGGGTTAAAGCAGGTTAGGAAGGCCCAGTTCTTTTTCTTAGCACCTGTGACCAATCTATCAGAGAAACCCTGCTGGAAGATCAGACAGGAGGGTGGGTTCGCGAAAAAGAAGGCGCATAGGGAAGATCTGGGCTCCAGAGAAAGGAAACCAAGGGGAAGGTTGCCTGGAAATATGGCCAGGAAAATTAGAGGAGTAAAGGAGGTGGTGTGTAGTGCAGGTAGTAATCATCAGAGCTGCCTAACACCACACATGAGACCTCTCCAAAGGTTCTGCAGAA